CAACTCAAACGAAGGAGGAAAAGAGCACGATTTAGGTGTACCTGAGGCATTAACACCCACAAGGGCAGCAGCATACGATATGTCTGAAGTCAACCCTAATAGATGGAGGTGTGGCGTTAAGAACGGTGAAGAAAGCAAAGCAGAGAGCAAAATCTGAATCCAGAACAGGGAGTAGGAGCAGAAACCTCTCTGTGAAGCCCCTGCAATTTCAGCTCGAGCCTAAGGATTGCGGACAAGAGGCAACGACCCGCTCGAACAGAGGGTTGTTTCTGCTCGAGCCCCGAGATTTCGAAAGAAAAAATGCGGCGTGGAAGAAGACGAGAGGCAACGAAGACAAAGGAAAGGAAAGCGGCGGACCTTGCAGACGGCGTCGACGAGGAGGAAAGACTGTGGCGACTTTCCAAAACGGCGACAACAAAGAAGTGATAACGGAAAAGACGCAGTGAATAGAGAAGAGAATCCGATGTGATAGCTCGTCGTAACAGTTACTAGGGTTCGCTATGAGACGAAACCCTAACAGAGCCGAACGAGGAGGAAAATGGCGCCATATATAAATTATAGATTAAAGAAATGAGTACAATAAAGGCATCAGAAAAAAAAACAGAAAATAAGATACAAAGTATTCATTTGCATCATCTAGTCGGATGTCTAATGAACAAAAGTGAGTGACAATAAAGTTTCATTTGGCTCCTAGCATTTTTACTATAAAAAATATGAAATACTTTATCTATCAAAGATTCAACACAATGTGTTCTAATATGAATCCAAATCTAACAATGATTGTCATTTTGTGCATTAATGGGATAAAGTTGAGGCATTTCAAGAACTTGTGAGATATTGTCAATGAAAATTAATAAAAAGATTAACATCAAAGGGCTGATAGAAGCAAAAACGTTAGTTACTATCTTTTAATGAGGATCAAATCTTGGTTATGGGTTTTAGGATTAGACAAGAACAGATTAGATAGAATCTTCCACCAAATAAGTGTGATGATCATCATGAGCATCAAGTGGAAAAACCGGCAATTAAAATTTTGGGTGCCTTCATTAAGAATGGGACTCAAGAATTACCTCTATCAAGCTGACTAATAGAAAATTTTTCAATAAGTGAAAGGAAAGAGGCCTAACAAGCATAAATATTTCATCATAAGAAAGATTAGAATAAGCTAGTTTTGAAAAAGTGAAAATTGGCATTGTTGGTGGGCTGTTGAATTATAGTGAATGAAAAGTAGGATTGGTAAGTGGAGAGGGGAAAACTTCTTCTATATTCCAACTACAAAACACAATCGCAAATAGTAAGGAGGTTGAGATGGAAGCACCCCCACCATAGAAGATAAAAAGAAAAGAAGCCTCAGAAACATCAATGGCCACATGGGAGGAAGGAGATGACCTCATAGGAAGGTCAACTAAGGCCCTGGAAGAAGTCATTGCCAGATAAGATGGGATGTGAAGCGGCCTGATGAAAAAGATAATGCGTAAGAACAACTAATGGAGGACAATATAAGAAACCGAGAATTACAACAAACATGAGAAACAAAAGTATGCCGCCACCAACACCAACACCAACAACAAGCCTTTATCCCACTAAGTCGGGTCGGCTACATAAATCATTTTTCTCCATTATGTCCTATGGAGAGTCATATTTTCATTTAATTATAAAAAAATTAATATCATTTTTTATGCAATATGTCCGATTCTTTTTAAGTTTGTCTCTACCATTCATAACATAAGTCGAATCTAAAACAACTACTATTCTAACTGGATTATCAGATGGTCGATGTTTAATGTGACCAAACAATCTAAGAAGACTCTCTCTAATCTTGTCAGTCAATGAAGCTACATCAACCCTTTCATGGATACATTCATTTCACATTCTATCTCTACGTGTCAAGCTACACATCCACCTAAGCATTTGCATCTCAGCAACACTTAACTTAGTTTTATGCTTCTCTTTTAAAGCCAATATTTTGTGTCATAGAGCATTACAGGTCTCACCACCATGTCATAAAATTTACCTTTAAGTCTACCACAAACGAGAGAAAAGAAAAGCGTACCCTAAATCCCAAATAGTCTAAGAGTATATGATCACTAATGTCATGAGAAGGGAGCAGCATCGAAGACATTCATAGAATCGATGACTACAAATAGAGTCAGGCGGGCACAAGAAGAACAACATAGGACACAGAATGAAATTACCAACTAGAAACCCAAAAAACTTTCCAAGCAACCAATCTATAACGCACCCCTATTCCAACCTCGTGTGTGCTACTTTGATCTTGATAATCATTCGTTACACGTAGATTGTCAACTGTCAAGCAAATTCACCTAAGAAATTATAATAAGCATAGAAAGGATCTTCATATGATTTTCATTGACTTTGAAAAAGTATACCACAAAAAATTGTAGGTTGCAGAGTGTTTCGGGAAGTCATGCAGAAACTCCAATAGTGGGGATTCATGGTTCCTCAATTTAACTAGTTTGAGGATGCTATTCGGAGGCTTGCTATTATCAATAGATCCCAAGCTAAGTCTGGATTTACTGCCATGTCATGCATCAATGTTGGAGTTCTCAGAATGCTAAGAAGCATGGGGTTCCCATGGGGCTCCTACTGTGCTAGTGGTGATTGTGCTCGAAGCGTTTACCAGAACACATTCCTTCCCTATCCCGAAGTATTGAGACACTAACCAGTCATGCAAACTGAATGTTTGCCTCTTTTGGTGATCCCCCCCCCCCCCCCCGTTAATGTGGATGGGCTCTTCTCCCCAATCACATTGTTGGAACCGGTGTGGTCATTGGCAATGAAGGAGGGTCATTTCTTTGTGTTGCGGGTAATCAACTTCAACATTGGGATAATGGATTTATTGAGCTACAAGCCATCCACTCTATTCGACAAATTATACAGCCATAGATGTTGGAAGCCAGGGGCCTTGTGGTGGAGGGTGACATTATTAATATTATCAACTACACGAGGAAAACTTTGGTACGGAAGATGTGGCGTGACAACCCAATCACTGCCTCAGTTTTGTTTTCTTGATTTCTTTGGACAAGTTATTTTTCATTATGTTCCTTGGGAGCTTAACCGAGCAACCCATTTTTGTGGCCTTTTCTCGTAGTTTTTATTTTTCGTCAGTTTCTGATTCCTCGAAGCTTCTCGGAATTCTTTCCGAGGACTGAGCCCATTTTGATAATGCCTATGGGCTTTTTTTTTTTTTTTTTTTTTTTTTTTTTTTAAAATCTTTTTGTTATAGTAATGCAAATGCGCACGTTCAAAAAAAAAGTACCACAAAAATTAATTTTGTGCGCTTTAAGTTAAGAAAGTACGTTAAAGTTAATAAAAATATGATAACGAAGTTGTAAAATGGATACAAAGATCTCAACTACATTACAAGTTAACACTAAAGATTAGCATTATATGAAGGCGCTTACAAATGACATTTCAAGTAAAGTATCTTGGTGAATACATTTTGTAGATGATGTAGTTCTAATTGATAAGAAATCCACTTGAATAAGTGCAAATTAGAATAATTGATAAAATATGTAGAAGATTGATAGTAAGAATTAGTAGATCAAAAACTAAATATATAATATGCAATCATTGTTATTCAAAGATAAAATAATAAGTAGATATGAAAGCTTTAAGTGTCTTTGAAGAAAAATAGGAATAAAGATATAACTCATATGACTAAAGGAGTAGTTAAAATGGACAAATGTTCAATAAGTATCATAAGATAAAAATCTATAATGAGCATGGAAAAAAAGAGAATGTTAAAATAAATATATGTAAAAACTAGGAAGCATATATAAGAAAATGATTATATTGAAGAAACATGTTGAATGACATTTATTATAGTTAGGATAATTAAAAATAGACTTAAGAGATCTTGACATGCACAACAAACTAGATGACAAAAACTTAGTGCCAATGAAATGAGAAAGGACATGGGGTGGACATGAAGTAATATGATTAAAATTGGTCCAAATTTGACTTCCAATGAATAAATTTAATAAATCATATGACAGCTCAATGAAACAAACAAAAAATAAGGATTCATACAATTGATTCTAAATAGTTAGAATAAGGCACGTAATGAAAAGCTAAAATAGTAGGCATGCTTTTATGTCATGATGCACCAAAATATAAAATTTTATGCTTCATTAAGTAAATTATTGTGTCACTTTCATAGGTGATTTTAAGAACTTTACGAAAAGAATTTCAAATAACTTCAACAATATATGAGGATTATTCCTAAACATAACATGCATAAAATCATTAGTTCATTTACAATTTGATTACCTCCTTGCCATGCATAAATACTCCCAAGGAATACAAAACTCAAGTGGGTGTGAGAAATAAACAAAGAGATGAGTCCTCTAATTACAGATGAAAAAGCCAGCTTTGGTAGGGTCCATACAGTCAAATGACTAGTCTTAATTAAAAGTTTTCTCTTGTTGATGAGAAGGATAATTAGCTAAAGGACCTTTGACTATTAGAAACCTAGAAACATATCTTAAAATTCTTATAAAATGAAAAAAAAAATAATTGAGTAGTGTCTTATCAAATTTATAATTTTCCTTCCAAAAATTTGATCTAGAATCACAAACTCTCTCAGAAGATCCTGACGTAAATTTTCAGCTCCCACATTTTGTAGTAAGGTTTTGAAATCTATCAAAAATCATAAATCATAAACCATCTTATACAAATCTAATTGATAATCTTTGCCACCGCAAAAACCGTATAATGCAAATGTCGAACACTACTACAAAAAAAAATGTATTATCAACATGTGAAAAATCATTAGTAGTGCAAAATACAAGTTTCTAAAGGGGTTAAAGAGAAAATGAACAAACATAATCCTTTGGAAACAGCACCCAAAAATTCATATCCAGGCATAGCATAGGTATTATAGTTTATAATCACCACAAAACTACAACAATATATGTAAGAGCTAAACATAAAATTACCATCGTAATAGGTAATTTAATTTTTAAACAAGAACTTACTTGAAACAACATTACTAATTTCTTGAGAAGGATTGACTGAGCCAACCCCAAAATAAGGCATCGATGCACCATTCAAATCTTCAAAATTCTTTAACTTCTCTTCAACTTTACTTTTACCCACAAGTTGTATAGACACCCGTCTTTTGCTTGAAGAAAAGACATACATTTCATCTGCATGGCAATAAAACAGAAGATCAAACTTGCTATAAGTATGTTTGTAGCAAAGTCTAAATGCAGGGCTATGAAAACGGCAAGGAACAAACAAAAACCAAGTAGGAATGTATTAATAATGATGATTTTTCAACACCAAGAACAACCTGCGCAAAATTCAGGTATTCATGTTATATATTAATCATGTATATTTTTAAGATTACTGATAATGAAGGTGTGTCGAGATAATTATCCCAAGTAATATGTTTAACTAATCAGCTGCATGTAGACCTAATACAAAAGCCTAAAATTCAGCATTTACTTTGATGGCTAATGAAGCTTGACTGCTTTCATAGTGGGAAAGGGCACAGAAATGGAGTAATCTGTTTAAGGCAGAGCAGGAATTATTTAGTTAAACAATCATTTCAATTTTATAATATTTATCTTAATCTTCTAATTTGTTTACTAGTGAGTGTGATAATGCATGCCTTTGATCCACTTGTTTATTATATGCATGATAAGGATGATTCGAAAATGCCAACCTTTGAAAGGTGACAATAAATGTATGATAATTGTGTAAATTGTTGAGGGCTTTTAAAATTTGTGCCCCAACCTCTCTTGAATAAAAGTGTTTCGTTAATTCTGGATCAAATTTTCAAAAGGCATAATAGTTTATAGATAAAATACTACTAAAAGATTTAGTTCTCATTTTGTGATGATTTCTAAGATCTATGGTTTGAGACTTCTTAGAAGTGTAGGTCTCTATGATTAATTACCCCAGTAGATAAAGTGAGAGCATTTTTTTATTAAAGACAGTCAATAAGACGTCGATTATTCAATGTTTAATAGTAGCAATTTAACTTCAAATTGAATAAACTAAACATCAAGAGCTTAGGAGCGAATTGTGGAGCAAATGATCATAGACTCGATCAAAATTTCATAATTTTGTAGTCCTGGATTATCACAGCCCCTGATCTCCTAAGTCAGAGTGAGTAATCAACTTAACCTAACTTAAAATCTTTCTCAGCAACCATAAAAAGATTCATCTAATGAAACCTTATAAACCTGAGGTGGATAATTTCCTGGAGGGCAAATTCAAGTCAAACTTAGCTAGCACAGGGTTTTGTATCATATCAAATATATCATATGATTTATAACTTAAAAGGGGGCAAAAAATTATTTGAAAATATGAGCGACAACCATGAACATAATATAGTGGACTTGTTGAGCCAAACCACCAGGTCAAAGAGCCCTGATCATAAGCACTATATTTGTGAAATTGTAGGGTCAAGCCACCCAGACAAATGACTCGAACCAAATCCTTACTGGCAAAAACTATTTGGAGCGTGAATATAGCAATGCAATAACAAAATATTGGCTCTTTGTGAGTTTAGGTCAATCTTAAACATGTCACCCTCAACAAGCAGTTGTAGATGATAGATGAGTTTTGTTTTAAGCTTTCTTGATTAAATTTCACTAGCATATTTTTAAATTCAATAATTTTTTTTTAAGAGTTATATTTTTAGAATTTAAAGGCATTTTAAATATAGAATCACTTTCAATTGAGATCTTTTTCAACGCAGTTAACATCAAAATTATTTGAAATAATTGCATTTATCATTCAAACCTTATCAACTCTACCTATGCTCAAGCAAAGGATTGGGCTTATGATTAGCGTATAATTTTACTTTCAATTGAAAATTGATTGTGTTGCTATTAACCTTAATTCAACTATTGAGAATCAGATCCAGGGATCACATAATGTGAATGCTCTTTATAACTTTCAAAGTAAGAGTTTGCACTTTTAACATAAAATTTCATCTTAAGAGTAGACTCCTTAGGTCTTAATTTCTATCAAAACAAACATCAAAATCGAAGTATTTGACGTTCACAATTATTCGTTATTGTAATTTTAATTGAATTTTATAGCTTCAAGATTATTAGGGCATCATTCCTGTAAACTCCAATCCTCAAAAAAAAGAAGGATCTAATTGGCTTAGTAAGGTTTCGATCTCGCCAACTCCAATTTTTTTAAGAAAGAGAATTGTGCAAGTCAAGTGGATGCTCAGTGTTGTCAACTCTTGTTTTTATAAGGAATTTTAAACTACCTAGTGTATTATTTGGTCTACTGAGGATTATATTTTTTTTCAAAATATTTGGCCTCATCATTATGACTAGGGTTGTCAAAAAAACTTGTTGTTCCCGAACAGTTCGTGTTCGGTTCGTCAATGAGTCCATATTCGATTTGTTAGATAAGTAGACGAGACGAAAGTGAATAAATTTTTTTCGTTCGGTTAGTTAAATGAACCAAACACGAACAGTGATGCGTTTGTTCGTGTTTGAATCGTTATTGTTCGAAATATAAATTAATTTAAAATAATTATATATATTTAATTTATGATATTTAAAAAAATTAAATTTTATAAATTATAATATATAATAAATTTATAATAATAATATATTAATATACTATATTAGTAATATATTAATATAGATATTATATATTTATATAATATAAGTTATATAATTAAGATAATATATTATTTATATATCTTAGTATTATGGATGTCAAGCTGGCTGGCGTTCGGCTCCTTCGTTGACGAACGGTGACTTCACGAACAATTTAAAACACGAATTTATTTCAAACAAATTAAATTTTAAACAAACCGAACACGAACAGAAGCTCTGTCCGTTCGTGTTCGGTTCGTTTACACCCCTAATTATGACCCTATTTCTATAGATGGGAAATGATGGATTTTATTTGGATTATTAATTGTTGAACATTGATATCATGTAAATGAAATCATATAAATTTAGTGGTTTCTCTATATCTGAGTTGAGCATTTGGATGGCTCCAAATTAATGGATAATTCAAAATTATTCCTCCCACTTTCATCCACTTACCTACATCACAAATATGTTAGTCATGCACGATTTTTAACATGTGCATTCTTTTATTTTTCATGCATATTACCAGAATTAGAGTGCAAGATGCATTTATGTAAGTTCGACTATGGCCTTTGAGGTTGAAAAAGTATGTCATATTGACTTGTGGTTTTTTTATGTCATTAGATCATTTACTTTGATTGGGATTAATGACGTCGTGATAGAGTTGAATCATGTTATATAAGATTAAATCAAAGTAGCATCATACAAACTAATAAGGTGATTTAATAATTTTGATAGATATATTCCTTATCATTCATGTATGTTAATTAGCAATGAAAAGAGAATGTGTAGTTCATATTTGTAAGTTTATCCCTCGTCTCTAAGGTCAGAGATAGAATAAATATCCCTTTGATCTATAACTTTACACATCCCATCAATGCATCCAAAGCATTTACTTGGATCGCATTTAATTATATTTGTATAGAGTTGAATTTTGTTTTGGAGTATGAAAGAGTTGCATGGTATGTAATAGCGAGGTAATTTAAAGTTCTAGTTTTCAACGGTATTGACAGCCTGAGAGAGATTATCATCTTCAAAGACTTATCCACTCCTTAAGGAAGTCACAATGTTCTTCACAAAAAAAAAATATTTGTTAGGTTACAAGGAGTAAGTCAGTCTTTGTTGCTCTGGCAATGAACCCTACTAATGAAAGCATACAAAAGCTTCACATCTTTCAAGATATATGGATCATAAGTCTCAGTCAATGTTCTCAAAAAAAAAAAAAAAACAGGTAAACCAAACATAATGTACTAACGTTTAAACCTTATTTACGCTAGTCATTTTATATAATGTTATGTTATTATTAATGATAATTATTATTTTAAATGTTATTTTATTAACGGCCCGTATAATATTTATTAATAATCCATGACCTATCCATTGATGGTTGGTGTGAATTTATTGGTCAAAATGAGAGTAACTTAATCAAACGTTTATGGACACTATGATTAAATAATGGTTGAGTAATTAAGGGTCCTCTCTCTGCTTATCTAAGTGTCAATTTTCTATCCATTTAAAGATTGATCATCAATTGAAATAATTGGGCAAAAAGGCGTAAACCCTTATTTTAAAAATTTCAAAGAAGCCCATCATGAGTCAAGGTATATTTGATTTTTAGTTAAGTTATTGTAAAAACCATCTTGTTCAATTTCTTGGATTGAAGAGTTTATGCGATTATATTGATCGAATGATCGGAACAAATTTAAGAAAAATATTTTATGAATGCCATAAAATTCTTACAATTAACATAAAAAATTTTCAGACGCTGTTAACGACAGAATTACCTTCCTCTTCCTTGGTGGATTCACCCCGGTAGCGATGATAAAGCGCTTCTAAAAGAGAGATCCCGCGGCTCAGGTTTTTCAAGCGAACAAACGACGCCGACTGCTCGTTGTTCGCCGTGAAATACCTCACTCCGTCAACTTGGCCATCGTGCTTCCCTTCGCCGTCGTCCCATTCGACGCCTACCCACTCGCCGGCGTGGCCTTTCACGGGCCCGATGTACCTCACAGTTCCGATCCTTCGCCGGTTTCCCACCACGTGAACCCTCTGCCCGTTACTCAACCCTAACTCACTCTT